AACATTAAGTGTAAACCCAAATTTAGAGTCTGAATTTCCAGAAGCTACAGACAGCAGGTAGAATATAGGACCTTTGGAGTTCAGGTTCCACCACAGCGGTAGACAATTTGTGAAGAACATTACAGCTTATTGAACATTCAATTCATAACATTAAGTTTATTGAAATATTTGCCACTGAGACATTATTATGGTCAGACTAGTTTCACTATTCTTTAAAACACTTATAACTGACTCCATTCTGTGCAATCAGTACCAAACTAACAAAAAATGTTTTACTCTGTTTCTATTAATCACTAATGAAATATAAGGCTATTTCTTGTATATAATAAAAAATAAACCATTGTAAAGGGCTGCTTCACCTGGAATTAGACATTTTCTCAGTCTTTTCTGTAGCATCTAAGAGCTATCAACTGTTTTAGTTGGTCCTCAAAAAATGCACTCTTTAAATTACAACTGCCTAGGTACTGAGAGATTGGCACAGGATTCTTTTTTTTTTTTTAAATGCATGTTTCAGTTGCAATGTTTTCAATTACAGCTACATTCATTACAATGCTTTGGTAAGATTCTATAGGGAAATCACAAAACAAACTTTAAAGGTAGACATGTCATACATTACATTCTCATTTTTGGTCACTCAGATCTAATCAGTTATACAAATAACAAAGAGAAGAGGAATAATTGTATTTAAAGTAGTTTATGTTTTTATTTTTTTAAACATCTATGGCCACTGAATTGGGCCAATACAACAAACTTTAATCACATTTCAAGCAGAACAAAATATTATTGACCATGTACTGAGATGTCAGAATGTGTTAGGGTTTGACTAGTGTTGTAGCTGTGATTGTCCAGGTAATACATTAGGGGAAAAAAGGAGTTTTGCGAAGAGGCTGGCTGGGGCACAAGGGTGCTCCAGAGCAGGGCCAGCCAGAAGTTAACCCCTGCCCTGAAGCACCCTCATGTCCCAGCCAGCTACATCAGTGTCTACACGTGTGGTGCTGAGAAGTAAAAAAAACCCTGTCCAGCAGGGTTAATTAGATTCCTGAGGCCTAATAGGGCCACATTTCATAGATTTCATAGACATTAGGGCTGGAAGGGACCTCGGAAGATCATCAAGTCCAGCCCCCCGCCCAAAGGGCAGGAAGTCAGCTGGGGTCATAGGATCCCAGCAAGATAAGCATCCAATTTGCTCTTGAAGGTGTTCAATATAGGTGCTTGAACCACCTCTGATGGCAGGCTGTTCCAGACCTTGGGGGCTCGGACAGTAAAGAAATTCTTCCTTATGTCCAGCCTGAAACGGTCTCGCAGTAGTTTATGACTGTTTGACCTCGTCATCCCTTGGGGCGCTCTGGTGAA